CATTCCATAGCTGAAAACGTATTGTCTTATTCCCATCCACTTCTCTTTCACCATTACCATCTTTTGTAGCCAAGTAAAAACCTCCACCAAAAGGCTTAATGCCAAAGAACACATTCATTAACAATTTGAGGTGAAACCCAAGTAAGATGACTCCATTTATATCCACACCAGCTGTATTCAAGACAATCAAATTGTTGTCATCATTCAATGACTTCACTAGTGAATCACATCCATTTGTAGATTCGAAAGCTTGTTGTAACTAGGGGTGTCATAAAAAACCAAACCGAATAACCAAACCGAACCAAATGAATTTTGGTTCATTTGGTTTGGGTTATTTGGTTTTCAGTTAATTTGGTTTGGTTAACCGAATAAGGATACCTTATTCGGTTTGGTTTTTGGTTAAATTTTTATTGTTTTGGTTAAACTGAAAAAACCGAATATATATATATATATATATATATATATATATATATATATATATATATATATATATATATATATATATATATATATCAACATTTTATATATAAATTTATTGATTAGTTACTAAGACTTTCATGCCTTTTTTTGTTAGTAACCAATATAAAGTTATAATTGTTTTATATTTTGTATTAAAAAGAAAAAACAAATTAACCAAATAACCTTTAGTCATTTCTTTCATTTTCATATACGGTTAAACTTATATTAACCTATCACTATAACTTGAATATAATATGTTATATATTAATGTAGTTTCTTTGTTTGGTTATAGTTTAGTAAGCTTTTTTCTTTTAGTTTAATATTTATTTTTATGTGTTGAATTTTATTCGGTTTAACCGTTAAACTTAAACTGAATCGAATAAACCATAACCGAAGAAACCGAAACCGATTAAACCGAACCTTATTTGGTTTGGTTATGGTTAAATTTAAAATGTAAAAAAACCAAAAAAACCGAACTGTTTTAACCGAAAACCGAAAAACCAAACCAAATAACACCCCAAGTTGTAACCACGCTTTCTTAACCAAACTTGAGATGGAAACACAACCACATCCCCATACAACTTCCCTATTTACGAATCAACAGGTTGAGTGTACCATGAATAACCCTCTCTAGAATTTGAGGGTTTAGAAAACGAAGTGTTAGAATATATAGAAAATATTTGCTGGTGGTTATTGGAGTACAAGCCATCTTGTGTGATATATGAAACTAGTGACAGATGTGGGATCATTAATAGTGCTTGAAACAACAAATGAGATAATTGGATTGCATGTGAGAGAATGAGAGGTCTGTTTTACTCAAAAAAATGGTTTCACATTTAGCTAAATTGGTTGCTGATGATTTCATTAGAAGCAATGTAGTTCCTTCATGTTGTATGATAGACCATGTTTCTTCATGATATTTCTTGGTGATCAGATCGACTTACTTTTCAATTGATTTGATTTTTAAAACCCAAAATGAGATAGATTATCAAGGTAGGAAGCCAAAGGCTAATTATTGCCTATAGAATTATTAGCTCAAGGGTGAGTTAATGATAATGAAATATGATGATTGAGTTGTTTGACGAAATTAATTACTAGTAGGATGAAGAAAGATATTTGGTTTGATGTGATCATTTTGTTGATCTTCATGCAAGTTTTTGGTGATTGATTTGAGGGAGGGAGAACTATACTTTGACGACAAATTAATTTTAAATTTGTAAAAATATCTGAGATATGAATACTATAATGTTCTATGATAAACTCAATATTAAATCTTAAGGAATATCGTGACAAGTAGCTAAGACCAAACCTTGTTTCCTTTTCTTAAAACAAGTTATGAAAATAACTCTTCATAGAATTGAAATTGAGGTGTTTATTTTGGAAACAAGTTCCGTTTTAAAATAAAAATACAAATATATATATATATATATATATATATATATAAACAAAGAGTCCCTCAAAAAATTATTGTTGGTTTTATTTCGTAACATACCTTCATATATATATATATATATATATATATATATATATATATATATATATATATATATATATATATATATATATATATATATATATATTAAAAACGTATCAAGTTAGGAAAAATAAAGTTCCTTTATTTTTGTTAAATTTGTCCGTTTGGTTTAAAGTTAGAAATATTGGTCCTATACTTATACAAAGTTGTTGTTGTGCTAAACTTTCAAAAACATTTTGTTGGAGTGGGATGGTCAAAAGTAGTGATGGATGGAGAGTTTCACTCATGGATACATATCTACTTCTCCTTCTCCATCATTTTGTTCTCCAATCAAATTGTTAAAGATTATCATCTCTCTTTAGGGTTTAGGGTTTAGGGTTATATAGTGCTTAGGGTTTAGGGTTGTATAGTGTTTAGAGTTTATGGATTAGGGTGGTATAGGATTTAGGGTTTAGGGTTTAAGGTTTAAGGATGTATATGGTTTAGGATTTAGGGTTTCTGTACATCTCAAAACCGACGCTAAGCTTCAAAAGTATCTTCTTGGCTATCATCTAATGTAGTGAATCAGCTTCTGCCACCAATACTTTTTCCCCTCTCAAAGGGTTGCTACTGTTCATCGAAAAGCTTTTAATTTCATATTCTTCTTGGGTATGATTCCGTTTTGTCATTTGCGAATGATTTTCATGTGTTGGTACCCCGAATTCTGGAAGAATATATATCAACAAGTGTAGACGTGAGCCATGGAGCGGCATGGGTATGATGATGTCTAACAGGGGAAGCTTATTTTCGTCGAGGCCTTGGAGTTAAATGCACATAGAACCTAACCAGACAATTCTAGAACAAGCATTGTTGGAGTGTTTTCTGAATTCAGCAACTGGTTTACATAGCTCATTGAAGTTAACCCTTGTTGTATCGATAACAAGCAATATGAAATTTGGTACACGAATTATTTCATTGTTATTTCTTTTTCGGGTCGGTGACACGACTTGAACTCAATTTGATGTGGGTGTAGGCAGTTCAGGTACCCAAAACTTAAAATTAAATCAGTTGATGATCTATTGTGTTCTTCTTCTTGTTGTGTAAACTCTCAAAGATTTTCTGAAAGCTGGCCTATGTTTTTCACTGCCAAAACTTTAATTTTGTGCACTGCTAAAAACATTTGTGCCATCTTACGCCTTTCGTCACTACTAATGAAGAGAACCACTATAGAAGAATTATATCCTCGTTTAGGAGGAGTGCTTTTCACAATCTTGTCATCTTCTCTGAGATCAGATACACAAACCTTAAACACAACATTGAACCTGAAGCATGTGCCTTTTCCCCACTTCCTTGTCAACTATGCTTATCTCCCAGCCCACCAATCGTACATGCAATTAATTGTTCAATACTAGATCTTTGTTTACTTGAGAATTCGAAAGAGATAATATGTTAAATGTTAATTAATGTTACCAGAGACTGGACGATTCCAAGACTTAAGCCAGTGCCTTCAATTTCAATAGTCGTTTCCTTTTCCGTATCTTTGACCTGAACGTAGTTTTCAAAGTTAAACGTTCATTCTCCTTAGGAATAACCTTTCACGTATCGTTTACTTCAAATACGAATCTTAAATTCTGCAATATACGCTTCTTGGCCCATGGACGAATATACACACTATCCACTGAAGTAAATTTGATAGAATTGTTAGGTAAGTTTGACAATAAATGTTTAAGCTTGCCTTCATCCCCTTTGGCTTGAGAAAATTTGGTGACTTGGAGATCCAAAATCACATCCACTCCTTTATATTTTACTTGTATCAAGAATAGAGTTTAGTATACCTAATTAATCCACATAACATAAACATCAATTCTTAGTTATGACATATATATATATATATATATATATATATATATATATATATATATAATGAAATGGTTGAGACCTTAGTATAAAGATCTCCTGAACAAATCTGCACAAGTTTCAAATTTTTAGCTCATTCTGATTCTTGATCGACCTCATTCATAGAAATCTCTAACAATCCAGCAATATCTGCTAATGAAGCACGAATATCTTGGTTGACAGTAACTACTCCAAGACTCTGATTCATGATCTGTCTTTCTTCTTGTTGTGTTTCACCGTTCTATTTTATAAGATCAGCTCTTGGGTACATCTCTTTTCTTGCTGCTCTCACTGTCAACACCACAAAACTGAAAATGAAGATACAAATAGTCACAAACAGCAGTGAAAGAAGCAACAAAAGAGTTAATATATTCTTGTGCATCCTTATTTCTGCTCCACGATCATATGGTAATGCCAAAACATATACCTGGAAAATTCCATAATTCATGTCAAGAAATTAATACATATACATATACATATAAAAAAGAAAAATGTAAAATTCTTATTCCGATTCCATTCCCATGATATCAAGTGAGGAAGATTACAAGATATATTATGTTCCTAAAATCTTCAAAATCTATGATTCTGGTGTGATGTTACCATGATTCCCTTTCCATAGTTGAAAAGATATTGTCTTATTTCCATCACCATTACCATATTTTGTAACCAAGTAAAACCCTCCACTAGAAGGCTTAATGCCAGAGAACACAATCATTAACAATTTGTGGTGAAACCCAAGTGAGATGACTCAATTTTTATCCACACCAGTTGTATTCAAGACAAGAAAATTATTGAAACCTTTCAATGGATGTGCTTCATTAGAGAAGACTCTGATTAGTATACCTTCATTTTACAGTTGGTGTGGATAAAAATGGAGTCATCTCACTTGGGTTTTACCTCAAATCGTTAATGGATGTGTTCTCTGGCATTATGCCTTCTGGTGGAGGTTTTTACTAGGCTACAAAAGATGGTAATGGTCTAAGAGAAGTGGATGGGAATAACACAATATCTTTTCAGCTATGGAAAGAGAATCATGGTAACATCACACTGGAATCACAGATTTTGAAGATTTCAGGAACAAAATATATCTTGTACTTTTCCTCCCTAGACATCGTGGGAATGGAATCCTTATAAGAATCTTACATTTTTCTTATTTATATGTATATGCATATTTATGTATTAATTTCTTGACATGAATTACGGAATTTACCAGGTACATCTTTTGGCATTGCCATATGATGGTGGAGCAGAAATTAGGATGCATAATAATATATTAATTGTTATGGTGCATCTTTCACTGCTATTTGTGACTGTTTGTATCTCTATTTTCAGTTTCAGGTTGTTAACAATGAGAGTAGCAAGAAAAGAGATGTGCCTAAAAGCTGCTCTTATAAAACAGAAGGGAGCAACACGGCAAGCAGAAAGAAAGAGCATGAATCAGAGACTCGCATTTGTTACTGTTAGCCATGATATTCATGCTTCACTAGTAGGCGTTGTTGGATTGTTAGAGATGTCTATTAAAGAGGTCGATCAAATATCAAAATTAGCTAAAAACTTGATACTTGTGTAGATTATTTCAGTAGATCTTTATGCTAAGCTTTCAACCATTTCATTTCATATATATAAAATCGTAACTAAGAATGTATGTTTATGTTATGTGGATTAATCAGGTATACTAAACACTATTCTTGATACAAGTAAAATAGAAGTTTGGTAGATGGAGCTTGAAGAAAAAGAGTTCGAATTGACAAAAGTATATGAGGATGTGGTTGAGTTGTTCTATCCTGTTGGTCTGAAAATGGAAGTGGATGTGATATTCGATCTCCAAGTCATCAAATTTTCTCAAGTCAAAGGGGATGAAGGTAGGCTTAAACAAATATTGTTGAACATACTCAGCAATGCTATGAAATTTAGTTTAGAGGGTAATGTGTATGTTCCTGCATGGGCCAGCAATCGTAGATTGCAAAATTAAGGATTCGCACACGATGAAGAATCTACAGGATGTTGCTTGTTTCTTAGAACTAAAGTGATGGATGAAGTCCATCACCATCACCATGATGATCCTAATTCCATGGAATTCGTATTTGAAGTAAATGATACTGGAAAGGGTATTCCCAAAGCGAAACAAGCATCTATCTTTGAAAACTACGTTCAGGTCAAAGAAATGGAAAATGAAACAACTCCTGAGATTGAAGGCACTGGCTTAGGCCTTGGAATTGTCCAGTCTCTAGTAACATTAATTAACATTTAATATATCATCTCCTTCTTATTCTCAAATAAACAAAAATATCTTTTATTAAGCAATTAAATGTAGGTACAATTGATGCGCGGGGAGATAAGTATAGTTGACAAGGAAGTGGGAGAAAAAGGAACATGCTTCAAGTTCAATGTTGTGTTTAAGGTTTACATATTTGATCTTAGTGAAGATTACAAGGCTATGAAAATCTATTCTCCTAAACAAGGCTACAATTCTTCTATAGTTGTACTCTTCATTAGCAGAGATGAAAGGGTTAAGATGGCACAAAATTTTATAAAGGCGTAAGGAATTAAAGTTTTAGCAGTGAAAAACATAAGCCAACTTTCAAAAAGTCTACGGGAGTTTAGATGACAAGACGAGGAACAAAATAGATCATCATCTGATTTAAGTTTAAGTTTTTTGGTACCTGAATTAGCCCACAACCACATCAAATGGAGTTTAAGTTGTGTCGCCGGCCCGAAAAAGGAATTATAATGAGGCAAATCGTGTACCAATTTTCAAATTGCTTGTGATCGATACAACAAGGGTTGACTTCAATGAGCTTTGCAAAGCAGTTGTTGAATTAAGAAAAGACTCCAAGAATGCTTGCTCTAGAATCGCCTGGTTAGGTTCTAAGTGCATTCAACTCCTAGGCCTCGATGAGAAGAAGCTTCCCCCGTCAGACATCATCATACCCATGTCGCTCCATGGCTTATGTCTACACTAGTTGATACATCTTCTTCAAGAATTCAGGGCACTAACACATGCAAATCATCATAAAATGACAAAATGGAATCACACCCAAGAAGAGAAAAATGAAAGGTTTTCTATGAGAAGTAGTAGTCCTTTAAGAGGGAAAAAAGTAATTGAGTCAGAAGACGATTCTTTGTTGAATATGATAGTCAAGAAGATACGTTTAAAGCTTGGCGTCAGTCTTGAGATGTGCAAAAACCCTTATCCCTGAAGCCTAAACCCTAAACCTTAAACCTTGACCATAAACCCTAACAATAAACGCTAAACCCTAAACACTAAATCCTAAACCCTAAACCTAACCCCTAAACCCTAAACACTAAACCATAAACCATAAACTCTAAACCTAACAACCTAAACCCTAAAGATAGAGAGATGATAATCTGTAACAATTTGATTGGAGAACAAAATGGTGGAAAAGGAGAAGCCGACACGTATCCACGAGTAAGACTCTCCGGCCACCACTACCATTGACTATCCCACTCTAACAAGATGTTTTTTGAAAACTTACCACCTTTGATAACTTTGTATAAGTATAGGATCAATTTTTCCAACTTTAAACCAAATAGGCAAATTTGACAATAACAAAGGAACTTTGTTGTTCCTAACTTAGATACTTTTTAATATATATATATATATATATATATATATATATATATATATATATATATATATATATATATATATATATATATATATATATATATATATAGTAAAATTAAGGTATGTTACGAAATAAAACCAGAAATAATTATTTTAGGGAATCTTTGTTTTTATATTTTCTTTGTTTTGTATTTAAAACGTATTTTGATAAACCGATTACTCGAAAAACATTAAGTCTAAAAACACTAATTAATAACGATTTCTATGTACACATTCATTGTAACAATATTTTATATTAGGGTTTTTTTTCTTATATATTTAGTATGCTATAATTTTGAAATAAAATTTTCTTTTTTATATGATTATATTTTGAAGTTTTAATTTCAGCCCCTTATTTTTTGAAGTTTTCATTTCCGCCCGTGTACATTAAAATCAATTTTAAAAAGAGAAATATCCTACTAACTAAAAGTTAATTAGCGTTTTCAAGAACGTTTTTTTTAAATGAAAAAATATCGATCTTTGATTAAATTTTCTCTACATATACACATACATATTTCAGTATTAACATACCAGCACTACCTAGTTAGTAGTTACAAAAATATAAATTCGTATTTGGCTATATTTTATATTGATATCATGTTCTTTTATTTTGATGATTTATTTCCAAAATAAACACCTTAATTCCAATTATATGAAGAGTTATTTTCGTAACATGTTTTAAGAAAACGAAACAACGTTTGGTATTAGCTACTTATCACCAAATTGCTTAAGGTTGAATATTGAGTTTATCATATAGCATTATAGTATTCATCTCTCGGATATTATTAAAAAATTTGAAATTAATTTGTCGTCAAAGTGTAGTCCTCCCTCTATCAAATCACTCACCAAAAACTTGCATAAATCAACAAAATGATCACATCAAACCCAATATCTTTCTTAATCGTACTGGTAATTAATATCCTATCACAACTCAATAATTGTCTTTGGTTATCATTAACTCAACCTTGTGCTAATAATTTTGTAGCAAATAATCAACTTGATGCTTCCTACCTTGATTATCCCATTATGGGTTTTAAAAATCAAATCAATTGAAAAAGAAGTTCATCTTATCACCAAGAACTCTCATAGAGAAACATGGTCTATCATACAGCATGCAACAACTACATTGCTTCCAATGAAATCATCAACAACCAATTTAGATAAATTTGCAACTATTTCTCTAAGTAAAACAGGCCTCTCATTCTCTCACATAGAATCTCAACTATCTCCTTTGTTGTTTCAAGTACTATTAACAAGCCCTCATCTATCACAAATTTCATATATCACACAAGATGACTTGCTCTTTGCATTATACTCCAGCAACCACCTGCATATATTTTCTCTATATTCTAACACATCATTCTCTAAGCCCACAAATTCTAGAAAGGGTTATTTATGGTACACTCAACCTGTTAATTCAGATATAGGGAAGTTGTATGGGGATGCATTTGTGTTTCGATCTCAAGTTTTCGTTAATGAAATGTGGTTACAACAAGCATTCAAATCTACAAATGGACATGCTTCATTAGGGAAGTCATTTAACAATGTCAATAATTTGTTTGTCTTGAATGCAACTGGTGTGGATAAAAATGGAGTCACCTCACTTGGATTTTACCTCAAATCGTTAATTAATGTGTTCTCTGGCATTAAGCCTGTTAGTGGAGGTTTTTACTTGGCTACAGAATACGGTAATGGTCTAAGAGAAGTGGATGGGAATATGACAATATCTTTTCAGCTATGGATTGAGAATCATGGTAACATCACATCGGAATCACCGATTTTAAAGATTTCAAGAACAAAATATATCTTGTACTCTTCCTCCCTTGACATCATGATAATGGAATCAATATAAGAAACTTACATTTTTCTTTTTTATATGTATATGTATGTATTAATTTTTGACATGAATTACATAATTTTTCAGGTATACGTTTTAGCATTACCATATGACGGAGGAGCGGAAAACAGGGTGCATAAGAATATATTAATTGTTTTGTTGCTTCTTTCACTACTGTATGTGACTGTTTGTATCTCCATTTCAGTTTCGTAGTGTCAAGAGTGAGAGCAGCAAGAAAAGAGATGTGCCTAAGAATTGCTCTTATAAAACAGAATGGAGCAACACAACAAGTAGGAAGAAAGAACATGAATCAGAGTCTTGCATTTTGTTACTGCCAACCATGATATTCGTGCTTCATTAGCAATCATTGCTGGAATGTTAGAGGTGTCCATCAACGAGGTCGATCAATGATCAGAATTAGCTAAAAATTTGAAAGTTGTGCAGATTTGTTCGAGATCTTTATGGCAAGATCTCAACCATTTCATTTCATATATATAAAATCATAACTAATAATGTATGGTCGACTTGATAAATATAGTTGTGGGTGTAGTTGAGTTGTTCTATTCTGTTGGTCTAAAATAGGAGTGGATGTGATTTTGGATTTCCAAGTCACCAAATTTTCTCAAGTCAAAGGGGATGAAGGCAGGACTAAATAGAAATTGTCAAACTTATTCAACAGTGTTGTCAAATTTACTTTAGTGGGTAATGTGTATGTTTTTGCTTGGGCTAGGAGGCCTAGATTGCAGAATTCAAGATTCGCACAAGATGAAGAATCTACACGATGATGCTTGTTGTTCAGAACCGAAGCGATAGATGAAGTTTATCACCATCACCATGATGATCCTAATTCCATGGAATTCGTATTTGAAGTAAACGATATTGGATAGGGTATTCCCAAAGAGAAACAAGCATCTATCTTTGAAAACTATGTTCAGGTCCAAGAAACGGAAATGGCTCCGAAAATTGAAGGCACTGGCTTAGGCCTTGGAATCGTCCAGTCTCTGGTAACATTAATTAACATTTAACATGTCATCTCCTTTTCATTCTTAAGTAAACAAAAAGATATAATATTGAACAATTAATTGCAGGTACGATTGATGGGAGCAGAGATAAGCATAGTTGACAAGGAAGTGGGCGAAAAGGTAAAATGCTTCAGGATCGATGTTGTGTTTAAGGTTTGTGTATCTGATCTCAGTGAAGATGACAAGATTGTGAAAAGCACCCCTCCTAAGCAAGGCTATAGTTCTTCTATAATTGTTATCTTTATTAATAGTGATAAAAGACGTAAGACAGCACAACAATTAATAACAACGAAAGGAATTAAAGTTTTAGCAGTAGAAAACATATGCCAACTTTCAGGGAGTTTAGACGATAAGAAGAGGAACAAAACAGATCATCATCTGATTTAAGTTTAAGTTTTGGGTACCTGAACTGGCCTACGCCCACGTGAAATGGAGTTCAAGTTGTATCACCGACCCAAAAAATAAATGATAATGAAGCAAGTCGTGTAGCAAATTTCATATTGCTTGTGATCGATACTATCACATCCCCCGGCCGAGGCGGTGAAATACGTCGAGGTGTACGACTTACTTCGTGGATCACAAGCAAAGTAAATATACATCACAAGTTACAACAATAACAATATAGCAGTTACATTCTATTTTAGCGTTTTAGTACAAGGTTCATAGATATAATAGTAATTAGTAACAAGTAGGTCGATATAACAAAAACTAGATAAGACTAGAATGCCAGGAATTCGTAAACGGTTCTTCGGTTAAAGGCTGGTTCAATGATTTCCTGAGAGTACATGTAATTTGATGGTCAACACAAAGGTTGGTGAGAGTTACAAGTTTTCTACTAACCACGATAATGATACTTTAAAAGTCTAGAAAGTATTTCTTTTGTGGTTAAAATCATGTTTGATAAAGAATGAAATCATAAATAAATTCATGATTGACACGTTTGTTAAAGAGATAAAACATAAGTAAATCCATACTTAAAATATTTGATAAATAGATAAACCATAAGTAAATTCATGCATAAAAGGTTTGATAAACAGAGAAACTGAATATGTGGTTTCTAGATAAATAGTTCGGTTAATGCCTATAGTGAGTCCTATAATCAAGCTATGTGAGTAGTTATAATCCCTTACAATGCTTCATTGGATGTCGTAGTTATCCTAAAGATAATTATCACCTGCTTCGATTGATCGGTCAAGGTTGTATCTAGCAATCGCAGGTGGGGGTGTCAACCCTTATAGATCTATACATACGTATCTCGCTATGAGAATTAATGGTTATAGCTAAATGATAATACTAAATGGTTAAATTTAAGTAATGAATATTGTCTCACTATAAAGGCCATTAACTAGGTTATACGATAAATTTTCACTATAAAAACCGAGTAAGTTCGATAAATCCGTAAAACTGTATGTCACTCGCTTAAATAGATAATATGTTTCTTCGCGTGCACGAAAGGTTTCCGAGATATAATTGTTATAATTCGTACGTAAATAATTAAAATATATGTTTGTACATGCTGGATATAAGTGAAAATAAATTATTTGCAAGGCTAATAATATTTTTTAAGCGCATGCAAATCGTAAGAAAATCAGTTTATAATATTTTATTATGACAATAACAAATATTAAAACTATGTATATTATTTTGAAAATAACAAATATTAAAATTGAGTATATATTTTATAACCGATATATGAGTCTCCCATGTTTATAAACGCATTTCATAACCAGTATATATATGTTACATGTATTCTCCCCATAATATTAAAACGTTAAAAAAGAGGCCGTAACACTTACTTTCGTAGCGTGAATGAGGCTCCAAGTGTAATTCTTGTCGCGAGATTTGTTGCGTGACGTTCCTCATCCTTAAAACAAACCTTCGTGTATTTTTAAAATGACATGTTAAACCCAAAAGGAAAGTTTTGGTATTAGTTAATAATTATAAGGTGGTCTTTATTAAAATAAATAAAATCTATGGGTTGATTTTGCCAAATTCAAACTCTAGGGACTGATCTTGCAAATTAATCTCGATACCAAGGGCTAATCATGTACAATTGAGGCTGATTTGAGTTTCAGAACTTAATTTGTTAGGGATTTGGATGGAGGGCTGTTCCGGGACTTAGACTTAATTGTAGCATTATTTTGAAGGAAGGGCCATAGTCGAATAAGTCAGAAATATTGAGGGTCGGATTTAAATAAAATGAATTAAACTTTGCACAGTGCCGTCTCTTTGGTTCCAGTCGCGATACCACAGTTCCACGGGAAAAAAAATTTAACACGAACGAGTTTCATGAAAGAAAACGAGTTTTCTCGATCCAATCTAGTTTTCGAAGGAGCATGACACTAGGAGGATGTTGGTGATCAGAACTTACAGCAACGGATGGTGATGGTCGGACGTCACACAGTAGCGTTGGCGACAGCAGGTGCAGGTGGTGACGATGGCCGGCGATGGCTGCTCTTCTGTCTCTTTTCCTTCCTGTTCCGACGAGCACCAGATGAGAAAGGAAATGGGAGAGCAACGCAGGTGGAGGAGGTGTTTGAGTGGGTTCTCTTGTCCAAAACAGGGATTATTGGATGGTGGAGCTATGGTGGCTCACGGTGGCAGATGGTGGTCAAAATCACAATTACAGCGGTGAAGGTGATGGTGGGTTACGACAGGGGGAGGCGGAGCGGACTGCTACGTCCGGCTGCGGTGACATGAGAAACCAGAGAGAGTGACAAGGAAAGGTGGTGTTGGGTTGTGTCTGAAAGCTAACTCATATCATTGGCAAGAGAGGGAGAACCACTATGTTTCCCGGTGGTTACACAGCAACAACACCACCCTTGGTGGTGGTGTTTCTCGGTAGTGCAGGAAGACTGGAAGATGGATGTGGGTTGTGAAGGTAAAAAGTTCCAGCGGCAGCAGTGGGATGGAGATGGTGGTTTCGGGAAGACGGTGGTGGTAATAATAGTGGTTCTATGGTGGTGGCCCAATCTCATGAACGAGAGGGAGGCAGTGGGTGGTGTTAGAGTAGAGGAAGGTGGGTTTGCTTGGTGTTCAAATGGAGGTGAACTACACCTTAAATATAGTTAAATTGTGAGGTTTGAATTGTTGTAACTTGTAAGAGATATCATAAATACTGCATCTATTTGTTTTTGTTTTACCATTTAAGTATGGTTTTCTCTGGAATGGTAAAAGTCTCTGGACTTCCTTCTTTAACGTAAAGGTTTTGAAATAAAAGGAAGAGTAAATTACACGAATGGTCCCTATGGTTTAGGGTAATTTGCGCTTTTGGTCCCTAACTTATTTTTTTAACTCGGAAGGTTCTTACTGTTTGTATTTGTTACGCGCTTGGTCCCTATCTTACCTAAAAAGACTATTATGCCCTTGATTTTTTTAATTTATTTAAATAAACACACCCCTAATCCCACCCTCTCACCTTACCTCACCTACCCCATCATTTTTTCCTTTTTAAATAATAGTCATTTTAGATAATACAGGGACCAAACACGTAACAAAAATAAATAGTAGGGATCAAACGCGTAACAAAAACAAACCATAGGGACCTTCCGAGTTAAAAAAATAAGTTAGGGACCAAGCATGCAAATTACCCCAAACCATAGGGACCATTCGTGTAATTTACTCTAAAAGGAAGGATAGAGAAAAGAGATAGAAAGGGACTTGAGACAGAAATAGATAATATCGTAGGCTGATTATTTTGTTTATTCAATTTTATTTATTTATTTATTTATTTTTGAGACAGAAATAGATAATACGTAGGCTGATTATTTTGTTTATTCAATTTTATTTATTTATTTATTTATTTTTTTACCAAAAAGTGTAATATTTCATTATGCATTTCTACTGTTTTAGAAATGATTTTGGTTTTGCGAGTCTGATTCTCGATGTTGGGTAATTTCTTTGATGGTGTAGATTGATAGATTTTAATTCTCAAATTCTAAAAGCCTGAATGGATAAATTTTTCGAGTTGTATAACTCTGGAAATTTGCGTTTAAAGTTTCGCGTCTAATTGGTCTGAAACGTCTTCTTTTTCTAATTTTTACACATATTTTTACTAAAAATATTTCGAGTGTTAAATAAAATATTAAGCCGTAATCTGAGTCCAAAAAGGCTCTCAGATGAGGTGTGGAACTGCCTTAATGGATCAATATGATTTATGAAATCAGATAAAGTTAGTGTTATATTAGTTTGGTTTCTTAAAACAGTCATATATCTTTTGCATACGAACTTCATTTTGGACGTTATTTATATATCTCAGGGAAACATGTACTACGAGCCTAGAAAATTTCTTTACTCATAGATGCTTAACACAAAATTTTAGTTTTTCAGTCGTTAACTAGAATTACAATTTGTGCTTTACATTTTGTTCGACTTTTCCTATAATTTGAGATAAGATACCATTTCATATCTTATTTTATTTGAAATGACGTTATATTTGTACTAAAATATGCATGTAAAATCAATCGGTAAAGATACAAAAAGGTCGGCGGGGAACTATCCGTTTACAGATTCAGACATAAATTATCGGACGTCATAGATATAACAAGGGTTGACTTCAATGAACTATGCAAAGGAATTGTTGAATTCAGAAAAGACTCCAACAATTCTTGTTCTAGAATCGTCTGGTTAAGTTCTAATTGCATTCAACTCCAAGGCCTCGATGAGAAGAAGCTTCCCCCGTCAGACATCATAATACCATGCAGCTCCATGGCTCATGTTTACACTCGTTGATACATCTTGTTCCACAATCCAGGGCACCAACACACGCAAATCGTCAGCAAATGACAAAACGGAATCGCAACCAAGAAGAGGAGGAAATTGAAAGGTTTTCGATGAGCAGTAGCAGCCCTAAGAGAGGGAAAAAAGTGTTGGTGGTAGAAGATGATTCTCTGCAGCAGATGATAGCCAAGAAGATACTTTTCAAGCTTGGCGTCAGTTTTGAGATGTGTAGAAACCCTAAACCCTATATGTTAACCCTCAATTCTAAACCCTAAGCCCTAAACCCCAAACACTATACAACCATTTATTAAAGATTCATCAAGTTCATCTTGAAGCTGTGAAGAAATCAAAGATAAAAGTTGAAGTTAAGCTCCCAATGAAGATTAACAAGAAAAGCCAGCTACATTATAGGGGGAGTTTGTTGGGTCAATTAGAAAAGAAAGCTATAAACCAAAAGGAAGGTTGTTGGGTCATAATTTTGGTTTATACTTTACATTTCTAGGCAATTGAGTTTTTCAGTCATGTAATATGTATTTGCAGTTGTGTTCACGTGTAAAATCCTGGGATTTTGGTCAAAGACTAGGAACGGTCAAGTTTATAGGAAGTCTCTTTGTAGTTTGAGTCATTGAGTTTTGGTGAACCTAATACAAAATAAAGGAGTTATTTCGACTATTATAAGATACTAGATGCTATCATACTTCCAAATATGTAATTTGGCAAACAAATCAAATAGCTCAAACTGCCACTTAGGAATGTGTCTGAAAAAAAAAATGAAAATTTGTGATAAGTAGTTTCGAGCTATACAAATACTCTAGTCTCGTAGTATGTGTGTAACATCTGGATATCCAGGTATTATATTTAATCTTTTATTTTTGAGTTTAAAGGGTGGACTCGACAAGTTGACGCATAGACTCGTCGAGTAAGGTCGTGATTGATGATTGTATTAATGAAGGGACTCAACGAGTCGGAAAGGGGGGACTCGATGAGTCCGCGCTGTAAGATGAAACCCTAATTCCCCAGGCCCGAGCCCTATTTAAAGGACCTTATAACCCTCTTGTACGGCTACCTGTATAGATAGAGTACCCCATAAGAGCTTGAGCGAGTTGATAGAGAGATAAGGCCATATTGATCGATTTTAGTGTGTTCTAGCAAAGGAGAAGTTTTTCCAAGCAAGAGGAGGTCAAAGGAGCTGTGGATCCAGAGTTTATAAGCCCAGATCTACACTACTGAGGTACCAAATCCAGTTCCTTTTCTGTTTTGGGTTAAGATCTATGATCTAGGGTTTTCTATACCCCTTTTGAGCTTGTTATGTTGATTTCTTGGTCCCTTGTGGTGTTCGACTTCAGATCTGGACCCATAGAGGTCCAGAGAACTTTTCCCAATCTGCTTTATGTTGGCTTAAGGAAGAAAAGAGCCTAGATTTCCATTATAGAAGCCTTTTAGCCAAAGATAGCCTTATACACGTTGCATGTGGGTCAAGTTTCGACATTTACGTTGTTATTGGTTGTGGGGAAGCCAGATCTATAGCTTAGGGAAACGGATCTGACCTCAGAAGGTCATTTCAATGTTGACATGGGAGCAACTCGACGAGTTGAGTCGGGGTTGCCCCGCTATTTATTGTTGAGTAACCGAACGAGTGGGGAGGGAACTCGTCGTGTCAAATGAGGCTTACAAGACTTCAGAGGACCAGTGTGGACTCGCCGATTCGCTTGAGTGCACTCAACGAGTCTGGTCAACGTTTGTCCGTTGATCGGAGTTGACTTTGTTGACTTTTAGGGTTTAGTTAATGTTTGGACTTATGAGCCATCAGAGGGGTAAAATGGTCTTTTACCCTTCTTTGGGAACTTATAGAGAGGGGTTATCCTGGCCTTTAGAAGCTGTATTAATTAGAGTAATTATTTATGTGATTAGGCGGAGGCTAGTGCAGTAATTCAGAATTAGAGGTTTACCGAGCATCCGAGGTGAGTCTTTTCACTATACTTTACCTTGAGTGGTAACCAGAGTTATGTGACTGTGTATCTTGTATGTTATGTATGTGATATGTTGCACTGCATTATTACTATGTGATTATGTTGTGTGTATTCCAGAGTTTACAGAGTTAGGACCGAAAAGGTCCACAGAGTTAGGGTTGGAGGGTCCATAGAGTCAGGGCCAGAGGGCCCACAGAGTTATAGCCTCAAGTGGCTAATATGTGTTGTATGTGGTATTTTGGGGAACTCACTAAGCATTTATGCTTACAGTGTTTTGTGTTATGTGTTTCAGGTACCAGTGAGGATTGCGGGAAGGCGCTGGTATGATCAGTACACACACATGAGGAGATTTTATACATTATGATCTTGGCCTGTATTTATGGATTGATAAGTGAACAATGAGATTTTATAATATTGATGAATGAAAATATGTTTTAAAAATGTGAAAAATTGTTTTGAAATTTACGGTGTTACAAGTTGGTATCAGAGCCTTGGTTTGAGGGATTCGGATGCACCTTCGAGTGCATTTGTACTCAAACTGAGGATTTGAGGAAATTTTTGAAATAAAACATAATTTCTTCTAAAAGAGTAAAAAGGATTTGAAAAGAGCGGAGCAGAGCCGTGTATACGATCAGCCAGCACCGAACGTTGATTTCCCAAAATACCATTATATTATGTGTCATGAGATATGTGATGATATGTTAGGCATGCTAGAGTAGGCTATGTATTCTTATTAGGAGTAAAGTGCCCTGATTTGTGATGCCTTAGCCTAGGGATATTGCTGCTAGGTGATGCTTGAGAGTAAGTAGATAGCAGCGAGGAGCTTATGAGGTATCTGCTAGAGAGTAGATTATGCATAGTGAGAGTAGAGTGCTTGGGATTTGGGATCCTAGTAGGAGGACTTGGGGTGAATATTGATGCGGTGTGGACGGTAGTATTGGGCCCATACTACTGAAGACACCGGAGCAGTGTGCATCCCAAGTAAGAATCCTTAGGTTATCAGGGAATGATTAGGGTTGAGTTATCGAGTGCGAGTATGCTCGAGCGAATCTCTGATATTTCTTATGTTGTATTTCAGAGACATCATGGTTATGACACACCACAGACCAGAGACCAACGGGGTGAGTGATGAGGAACTCCACCAGATGATCCATTAGGAGGTGGTTGTGGCTATCCGCGCAGAGATTCTAGAAATGTTCGGGTCTATTAAGACCATGTTGATTGAGACTTTTGATCAGAGATACGCAACGGTTACTGAGGTTGCAGCTACGACAGCTGTTGCTGCTACCAGACCTCAGGGTGGTGATTCATTACTGTTCTGGGAGTTCAGCAACACGAAGCCACTAGTGTTTGATAGGACACAGGATCAGATTGCTGCAATGAGATGCGTTTCTGATATTAAGGGACGCTTCTATACGTGTTCATGTCCGGAGCATCTGAGAGTTCGGTTCGTACTGAACCAGCTTCGCTTGGGAGCGAAGGACTGGTGGAAGTTTGTTACAGCATAATATCCGCCTGTTGAGCTTGATGTGTTGACCTGGGAGAGTTTTACTGCCATGTTCCGTGATGAGTACGTTTCATTGGTGGAGAGGGAGCATTTGGCCCAGGAGTTTCTGATCCTCAAGTAGGGTACTGAGTCTATTACTGCGATAACTAGGATGTTCCATGAGAGGGAGATGTTCTGCCCTGAGCACGTGTCTACCGAGCAGGCACGCATGAGTCAGTATCTGAGTATTTTGAGGAGGGACATATGAGAGTTCGCGGTGAACTCTCGTCGTACCGGACATTTGCCGAGCTTCAGGTGTAACGCCCGCAGATCCGGGCTAGTCAATTTTGAGGCAATAAGTGTCGAAAACGACTTTTCGACAAAGGATTATTTAGAATAAATAATCTTAACCAAGTTTTAGAATATGTCTCAAGGTTTCCGTACATATAAAGAATGTCGAAATCCTGAGTTATAACGAAGAAGTTATGGCTCGTCGAAGTTTCGCGACGGAACCGACACGGCACCGGAAATCGTAAATAGTGAATTTGCGATAGAGTAAGATTTAGCCTTAGCGATCTAAACGAAAGTCGTATAATGTGTTAAACTAAGAACATCGATAAAAAGAACGCCCAAATCTGACTTCGTATGAAGAAGTTATGATTTTTCGAAGTTTCGGATTAGCAGTGTACAGCCCGAAATTTGAATATAAGATCGAGTGATTTTTAGCCGACACGACCTAAACGAGAATCAAAGATCTCGATAAGAGTAGCGTAACGAGAAAAAGATGGGCGAAAACGGACGTCGGATGAAGAAGTTATGAGGATTTAACGGACCAATCCTGTCCCGGCCTGTTAATAATATAAAATTTAAAATCAAATCAAAGTTAGCCAAAGGAGTCTAAACGAAAGTTGTAGAGTACGTTCCCACCTTCGCGTGGATATAAATAACGTCATAAAAAGAGCTCGTACGCGAAAGTTACGAATTTTTAAAGTTTTTACTTGATTTTGCAAGATCTGATACGAAGTCGCTGACGCGGCGCTTTCCCAGCCATCCGATGATAATCGCTGAAGCCGCATCGGATCGTGACACGTAGCCCCCTCGCTACGCCCAGCGTCCGGTCTTGTACGCGTCGCGTTCGCATAGCCATGCTCGGTCCAAGAGAAGCCACGTCGCACCACCGAGCCTTCGCCACCTGGTCATCTTATCCGAAGTTACGCCCTGCGTAACTTTCTGAACGCCCCGCGTAGTGCGAAACCTTACACCTATAAAAGGGGTGCGAGGGCAGCCGGTTTTTCACACCAAAATCTTCTTCTCTCTCTAAAATACTTTCTCTCTTTAGCTCCCCAACCACCCCTAAGCCCTAGTTAAACCCCTTAGCTCCCGAGGGAAACCCCGAGCCTCCCGGAGTCCTAAGAAAAAGGGTCTTTTGGTTTCGAAATGCTGCTCCAAATAAAGTTCCGGTTTTCGATAAAATTCGTTGTACGTGAGCTACGCCTACACAATTTTTAATATAGCTTTCGAATAATTATAGGAATGTTATTAGGTCTTTAAAATAATTATTTGGGCTATTATTATGAGTTATATTGAGTGTTATTTAACGCTTATATAATAATAATAATAATAGTCAGACTATTAATTTGTCGCGGTTATCGTTAGACTAAACCCTAGTGGTATTGGTACTAGGTTTTATCAAAGGAAAATCGTTTTGAGAGTATCGAAGCGTTGTCCGAGTGCCGAGTCACCACCTTTCAAGTGAGTGCATGGTCCCTTTCATCTTACACATAGATATGAAGTATTTTATTATAAATTACATGATATGTGTGCATATTGTCTGAATACTTGTTGTCTATACTGGTGAAAGATTTTTATACATGTTTTAAATGATGTAAACTGTATAAAGTATTTTATATCTACAAAATATGTTGGTTAAAACATGGGTAGATGAATGAAGAGGGATAAAAGCGAAAATAGAGGAACATTAGTAGCATGGACCTAGTGCCCTATAGGTATACATTGGCAGCAGTGGACCTAGTACCCTATAGATGAGCACTAGCAGCTGCGCCACAACCCGTAGATGTTTCAGATCTACGGTAAACGTCCAAGCAGCTGCGCTCTAAGGACAGTATCGGAAGCTGCGCCTAATATGGAGCCTTATGACCATGACAGTAGCATT